CCTCGCCGAGGGGCTCCCGCCGCTTCTTCTTGCTGGCCTCCGACACCTTGAAGCCCTCGGGGAACCAGAGCTGGCCATGCTGCCGGCGGCGCCTGCGGGACAGCAGCACCCCGCAGCCCACGAAGAAGAGGAGCGCGAAGGCGGCGGCGGCCACGTACATCAAGTGCAGCTGCGGGGCCGCGGGCGGCTCCAGCGTCTCAGCTGGGAGCACGGCTGCGGCTACCGGCGCCCGGGCACTCAGCGTGGCGCAGTGGGCAGCAGACGAGGCCATTGCCCGGCCGTGGCCCGCAGGCCCTGGGGGTCTGACTGCCTTCCCCAGAGGCCCGAAGCTGCTCTTTCCTGGAGTTGGGGGGTGCAGCTGCGGGGCCGCGGGGGGCTCCGTGTAGTGACCCTTCGGGGGTGCCCTGTGGGCGGGGCGGGCGGCTCACCCGAGAGGCCCCTGCGCCCCCTCTCCTCTCTGTGCCCCAGTGCAGACACTCTGTTTCCGGACACTCCCTGCTTACCCGCCGGGCGCGGTGCAGGCGGTGGCCATGAGACTTGCCCCGGCTTGCGCTGGTCCCAGCACCCTGGGTGGCTTTCTGCGGGTGCTCTTGGGGTGGCGGCACCCGGCACGGCAGCAGCGACGGCTGCTGAGTGGCTGCAGCCGCTCCTCAGGCTGTTTAGAGCGGGTCGCGGCTCGCCTCACGCCACTCAGCCGGCCGCTCCGCGGGAAAGGCCCACTGGACGCACGAAGGCGGCCCCAGGCCTGAGGTGGCCAGCACTGGCGGGCCCAGGAGCGGGAGGCCCGACTGTGTCTGTCTCTGCCCAGGTCGCCATGGTTGCTGTTGGCGCCCCTGCTGTCCCCCTCGGCGCCCCAGGTGACCTCCCCGCCTTGCTGCCTGTGCCCCGAGGGCGCGCACCGCTTCCAGTGGATCCGAAACCTGGTGCCCGAGTTCGGGGTGTCCAGTTTGCACGTGAAAGTGCTGTCTTCTCCTGCAGAGTTCTTTGAGCACATGAAGGTAAGTCGTGTCTAACCAGAGGGACAGGCTTGGGGTGCAGGATGGGGCGCACCTGGGCGGAGGTGCCTGCTGTTCTAGAAGCTCTGGTGGCTGTTCCCCGCCCCCGCCGCTGCGGTCGGCCTGTGCGCTGGGCCCCTGGGCGGAGCGGCTCCAGGCCCCTGGAGCACGGGCCAGACACCTGAGCGGTGCTGAAGGTGTGGCCGCTGGACGGGGGCCAGGGGCACCTCCCGCAGAGGGTGTCCAGGAGGACAGAGCTCTCGTCGGGCCGAGTCGGCTCCCGGCCCGGACCCCGCTCCAGAACACTGGACGTCACACCGGGAAGTGCAGACCCCGTGACCCGGGGTGGGGGCCGCGCTCCGTGGCAGAGGGCGGCAGCTCTCCTGGGACCTGGGAGGCGCGGCGGGCCTTCAGCTTTCACTTAGCCCTGGCGTCCGTGCTCGACCAGGCTGGCCGCTGGCTGGAGCGAAGCCATTCGGTGCTCCTGAGCTTTTGTTTGCACGAACTCCCTGCCTGGCTTCCAGACTCGGGAGAGGACGGCCGCCGCGCGGAGAGCTGGGCCCGCGCAGGGGTCTCTTCCGTGGGCGCCCGCCACTTGCTTTTGCATGCCTGCCCTGGCCTGTGGGCCCACACTTGTTCCGCACTCTGCTGCCTCCTCCCAGACGCGCCCCGTGAGCGTGTGACTGCGCCCCGCGCCCGGCCCCGCGTCCTTGTTCACGGGCGCCGCGCCCCGGCAGGAGCCACACGGCGTTCCGAGGGGCTCCTCAGGTCCTGAGCGGCCCCGCGAATGACTGACCGAGCCCCCGCGGTCAGCCCCTGCCGCCCGCCCCTCCCGCATCGGGGCCGGCCCTCGGCAGCGGGCAGTGTGTCCTGGTGCCCTGCGTCTGCTCCCCGCTCGGCTTGGCGGCTGTGTGGTGCCCTAAGAGCTGGTCCCCCGCTTTCCTTTTATTTTAGACCGTCCCGCCTAGCATCGCGCCTCCTTTCCGTGGGCTGCCATGCGCCTCTTGGGCCTGAGCGTCAGCTGGTGGGGGTGCAGGCGTGTTCTGCGCCTGGTCTGTTGGTGAGTGCGAGGGTGAAGGGAGCTGAATCTTGAATTGTTTCCTCTTTCAGGGGCAGATAAGACTGGCCAGGAGGCGGGTTGTGATGGCGTCCCTCTACCTGGGGACCGGCCCCTTGGAACAGGAACTGGTAAGGGTGGTTGAGCAACAGCTGTGAGCAACTCCCCCCTCCCCACCCCAACACTTTCGCTTATTAGCACTCAGGAGCCACCTGAGGCCCCTGTGGGGGCCTGCCGAGCGCCCAGGGAGGACGTGGCGGGGGAGGGGGTCTCGTCCTGGCTCCGACCTTGCCGGCTTGTGTCCTCTGCCTGCACTGGGCTCTGGCCGCCCCGTGCTGCCCGGCCTGGCTGCATGGCCTGTGTGTCTGTGGCCTGTGAGCTGGGGGTGGTTTTGCATTTTCAAAAGTTGGGAGAAAATCAGACGAATACAGATGACACGTGAAAACCTTGAAACTCCGATTCCTGCCTGTAGTGCGGCTCCGTTGAGCCCGGCCAGCCTGCTCGCTCAGTCTTGTCTGCGGGGCGGGGGCGGTGATGGCTGAGGGCCCCAGGCCAGGAGGCCCAACAGGCATCTGACCCGGCGGGGGGCAGGGCCGAGGGCCGGTGCCTGCTGCAGCTTGGCAGGCGGCCTTGCTCCACCTGAACGGGCTGTCAGGCCACACCTGTCGCAGTGAGCCGGCAGGCGGGCGGCAGGCCCGGTGGGGTCTGCGGGGACAGTGTGTGGCCGAGGCCAGGTTCCGTCTCGTTCCCTGGGTGGCCTTCTGCTCTGAGCTGGGGGGGCTCCGTGGCCCAGAGGGAGTGGCGGGCCTCGGGTCTTCCTTGCTCACAGACACACAGGGGAAGGCGGCTCCCGTGCACTCTCCCTGCCGGGAACAGCTGAGCAGGGCTGCGTCTGGGACCCCCGTGGCTGGGGGTCCGGGGCCGTGGAGGGGCCTCTGGGCGCTGGTGTCTCGGCAAGGACCAGGCCGAGCTGTGGGCTCCCGCTACCCTGGGATTCGCCGATAACGTCTGTCCTGGGCTGTGCACCCAGGGCCGTGCGTGCCGGGCCGGTGGCGAGGGCCGACTGGGCAGCCTTTTTGTTAAGTACATAATGAGCTTTTTGCAAACCGCTGTTCTTCTGGGGTTCTTTTCTGAAAGGTGGATTGCCTGGAAAGCACTCTAGAAGAGTCACTGCAAGCCAAATTTCCTTCAGACCTCAAGGTCTCCATTCTCTTGGACTTCACACGGGGCTCGAGAGGTAGGTTGGAGCCCCGGCCGTACCCCAGCCCTGACTGTGGCCGGGCGCACTGTGGACCCCACCCCCACCCCGTCTGGGCAGGCCCAGGCCCACCTGATGACTGAGTCAGGCCTCCTCAGCAGGCGACTGCCAGCCGAGTGGAGCAGCCTAGGGCAGAGGAGAGCGTTCTACCCATCTGCCCGCCCTGCGGGCCTGGCCGGGCACTCAGCCTCGACCTGGCGCCCCGCCCCGCCCCGCCCCGCTTCAGCCGCGCCCCGGCTGGTCTTGCCACCCCCTTGTCTGTCACAGAGCATTGCTCCCCTGCTGGTCAGCCGCCCGGGCGACCCGCCCAGGGCCCCCATGTGCTCATCGGCCCACCGCAGGCCTGTGCGCCCTGATGCTGCAACGAGCGAGCTCCCTCATCCCTGGAGTTGGACTGGGGGGGCCGCCCCAGCAGGGGCGGGGTGCCGGGTGGCAGAAGCAGCAGTGTCTCCCTCCCGGGCCCTCAGCCGTCTTCTCTGCCCGCCCCGCCAGGCAGGAAGAACTCCCGCACGATGCTGCTCCCGCTCCTGCGGCGGTTTCCGGAACAGGTCCGCGTCTCCCTCTTCCACACGCCCAACCTCCGCGGGCTCCTCCGCCTCCTGATCCCCGAGCGCTTCAACGAGACCATCGGCCTGCAGCACATCAAAGTGTACCTCTTCGACGACAACGTCATCCTGAGCGGGTGGGTGTGTCCCCGCCCCGCCGCCTTCCGGGGTCTCACTCTTCCTGGCTGGCCTGTGCCGCGGAGGCCGGAGGCCCGCGAGGGGCGAGGGGGCGGGTTTGCCCGAGGCCGCCTCCGCCCTGCGCTCTCCCACGCTCCCGGTGGGGCCTCGCGGCCCGTGTGGCACCTTCCTCACCCAGGCCCGAGAGGAGGGCTGTGAGCTCGGGTGGGCGGGTCCGGGCCCTTCGCTCCCCTGGCCCGCCGACCGCTCGGGGCGTTGTCGGCCTCGTGGGTGTCGGAGGCTGTTGGCTGTGTGAGGGTGGGCGGGCTCCGCGTTCACCTTCCCTGCCCTGCGGGGCCACTCTGGCCCGCCCGGGGACTGTCACGCTGGGCTCTCTGTAAGCCGGCCGGCGCCCCGGGTCCTGCTCCACCTCTGCCCGCCCCGCCCGGCCCCGCTGCCGCGCTCGGCCTGAGCCTGCCCTTCCTTGCAGCGCGAACCTGAGCGACCCCTACTTCACCAGCCGCCAGGACCGCTACGTGCTCCTGCAGGACTGCCCGGACATCGCCGACTTCTTCACGGAGCTGGTGGGCGCTGTGGGGGACGTGTCCCTGCAGCTGCAGGGGGACAACACGGTGCGGATGGCGGAGGGCATGGTGCACCCTTACAAAGGTACGGCGCCAGCCGCCCCGCCCCGCTGGGGTGGGCACGAGCCCGGGCACACTGCGGCCGGCCCTGCCGCGGGCCTGGCAGTGCAGGTGGCAGAGTCCGGCTCTGCTTTGTGTCTGAAGCCGGCCAGGCTGCACTGCTGGCCCTCTTCTCTCCGGGCAGGCGGGGGGGCGGGCTCTGGTCACAGGGCTGAGGCCTGGGGCCCGCGCTCGGTCTGGAAGCCGCTTGCCGGCGGGCTGTGCTTGATGGGGTCTGCTCCTGCCTCGGCGCAAGGCTCGCTGGCTCTCAGCCCCTTGGGGTCTGTGCCTCCCGCCTGGAAGGCGAAACGGGGGAGCCCTCAGCTCTGCTTGCGCCGACAGGCAGCCCTGGCAGCCGGCACTCTGGGCACCTGCGTTCCCGGTGTCCGGCCTGGCCTTCAGGAGGGGCTGCTGCCGAGTCTGCGGTGCAGCTGTGGGCAGGGCAGACTCGCGGAGGGTGAGGCTTGGATTTCATCATGAGAAATGGGTGGACGTTTGTCTCTCGATGACCCACACATGCCTCCGCCTCGCCCTCTGGCTTACGGAGCCGGGGTTACTCTCCGGCCTGTGCAGCAAATGCCAGCCCTTCTGTTTCAGCCTGACAGGCCAGGCCAGGCCAGCAGAGCAGGGAGAGCGGGCCCGAGCAGCCATTGAGGGCGGGCCACCGGCCTGTGCAGGTGGGCAGGCTGAGGGGCGCCTGCCGCCCGCAGCGCCCCCTCTCGGGCCCCCTCCCTCGAGGTGCTGGAGTCCGGAGGTGGCCCCCCGCAGCGTCAGCTGCCAGCCCCACAGGCCCGCGCGGCCCGCCCGCTCCGGCACGCGGAGAGCCCGTCTCCCTGTCCGGGCCCTTTGTTGTTCCTCTGCCCCTAGTCTGTGCGTGGCCTTCTGTAGCCCCAGCTTCCTGTGCGGGAGCTCGGCTCACTGGTTCTCAGTGTTTCCTGGTCGGAAACCAGCGCTCACGGCGTTGCCATCACGAGTGTCTGAACTGCCGCTCGTCGCCAGGCTTGTCGGCGACAGGGAAGGTCCCGGCCTGTCCTTCGGGTCCTGGCCCAGGGGTCCTCCCCCGGGCCTCAGCCCCCACACACATTGCCTGCAGCCTTGTCCCGCGCTGGCGGCTTGCGGCGCAAGGCCCACCGAGTGCCAGCCGTTCCCTGCCCCCGCCCAGCGTCACCTCTTCCTTCAGTTCATCTGGCTCGGTCTTGACTTTGGCAGTGAGGCCAGCCGAGGCCGGTCCCCTCCCCGAGCCCCAGAGGACCGGGCCCATGGCCTTTCCGCCGAGTGCAGCCTCGCTGCGGGCCTGCCCCCGCCTCGTGAGTGCTCAGCAGGTGGTCGGAGGCGGCCCGCGCCGGCCTGCCGTGAGCGTCCGCCGGGCCGTGCCTCTCCCCTCACGCCTCCCCCTCCCTCCAGGGGACCGGGCTGCGTTCTGCAAGGCGGCCAACAAGAGGGTGATGGACGCCATCAACGCGGCCCGCGCCCGCCAGCAGAGGCTGCACGCCCAGACTTTCCACGGCGATGCCCTGTTGCCCGAGGAGGACGCGGCAGCCGCCGGCGACCGGAGGCCCGCCCCGGACACCTGGATTTACCCTCTGATCCAGATGAAGCCCTTTGAGATCCAGATTGACGAGCTCGTCACCGGGACGCTGCTGACCGAGGCCGAGCGAGGGGCCAAGGTGTACCTCACCACGGGCTACTTCAACCTGACCCAGGCCTACGTGGACCTGGTGTTGGGCGCGCGGGCCGAGTACCAGATCCTGCTGGCCTCCCCGGAGGTGAACGGCTTCTTCGGGGCCAAGGGCGTGGCGGGCGCCATCCCGGCGGCCTACGTGCACATCGAGCGGCAGTTCTACGGCCAGGTGTGCAGCCTGGGCCAGCAGGAGCGCGTGCGGCTGCGCGAGTACCGGCGCAGGGGCTGGACCTTCCATGCCAAAGGTGCGTGGGGCGGGGCCCCGGGCGCCC